ACACATTCCACATGGGAAAACAAGGAGCAGAAATAGAAATTGTTTTCTCTTTCTTCCCTCTGTGCTCCTCTATGAAAAAATCCTGAGAGAGAGAAGAAAGTGCCTGCCACAGCAGCCTCATCCTGCTGTGCCACTCCAGCTTTTGGTGTGTGAACCTGGTTTATGGCAGGAGCAGGGTTTGCAGGGCAGGAAAGGTGGATCCCATCCCAAATCCAGAACCAAGGCGTTGTGAGGCGAGGCCTGTGATGCACAGCAAAAGCAAGAAGGACATTTCCAAGTAAGTCTGGGCTCTGGGGAACAGGGTATGACAGTGATGGGGCTGATGGGGTGATCTTTAGTCACTCTTCTGCCTCACACCAGCTGGGACAGTGGTCCACACACTTGTCATTGTGACAGGTCTTGGCATTAGTGCTTCAGGGACATGGGAATAGATTTATCAGTATTGGGTAGCTGCTAACAAGACAGGAGGGAACAAAATGATCTTTAATGAAGAGACACCACGTTTTCACAAAATATCTATTAGAAAAGCAAGAGAGGCTCAGGGAACATAACAAAGTTACTGCTTGACTGTGTCTAGAGCAGACATGAAAGCCTTCATGGTGTGCCAGGAGGTGAAATCAGCCACCAAGAAATGCCTGTCAGCAGGACAGTGCTGCTCCAGGTCAGTGAGTTATGGATTCTGGACAGGAGGGCTGGGAAGAAGAGAGGATGTGGAACATCTTCCCAACAACGTCAGGGATGTTGTTGCATTGCTTGCAGCCCCGTTTGGCTGATTCAGGATTTCCAGGGCTTGTGCCTCATCCCAATAAAAGCAGGAGCTGCTCACATCCTTGTCCACCCAGAGGAACCAACCTTAACCAGGAGCTTTTAGAGCCAAAGAAAGGAACTGGAGTTGTGTCCTGAGCCACAGGAAATCCAGCCACGTGTTGGAGCTTGCTGGATTTTCCTTCCTTGTGCTTTTGCTCCTGTTGGATCCCTGAGCACAGCCTGACTCACGGCTTGGGGAAAGAGAGACATCAGTGTTGCCTGCTCAGAAATCCAACTGCTTTCAATCCACCCAAACCACCATGTGGACTCTGCAGGTCCGTCTGTGGATGATTTCCAGCTAAAATTTCCCATCAGCACTCATCAAAGGATGCAAACAAAACAGCTCCACATTTCACTTTGATGCTCTTGTGCTCTGCTTTACCCCTGTCTTGTCCTCTTTGGCACAGTGTCCACTTGCATCAGTCTGAGGTCTATTTTTGGAATGAACATGAGATTGCCTGGAACCTCTCCAAAAACTTAACTCACTCTTTTGATCATGGAGGAGATAAACATATTTCTGTGCTTGCCTTTATTAATTATTTGCCCTGAGAATGCAAGTGGGATTTTTTCCATGGCCAGCAGAGCTTGCAGTATTTTTTTGGATGGCCTAGAACAGGGATGCCCAGGATGCTTGAAGGCTTTTGGTGACTGCTTTAGCAATATTGGTCCGAGGTATGGCCATTTTCTGATCAAACTTCCTTTTGGTGGGAAACTTGAACTTCTGACATCAGAATTTCATGGCATTTTAAGTTGGGAGTTGACTTTTCCTAGGGAAAGTTTTAGTGCTGTTGTGGGAAAATGCGAGCATGGCCAATCTAAATACTAAATAAAGTCACATATTGCTTGAAACAGTTTTTCTGTGCTCAGTGAAGTGCCCAGTTACTCTGCATTGCTCTGTTGCTTTACAGAAAACCTCTCCACCCTGCCCTGAGCTCTGACATTACCTGGTCTGGGTTTGGACAGCAGGAACCAAAGATTGTGCTCTGTACTTCTGATTTTAGAAGGATGTCCTTACAGACACAATTTCTCTGCTGTGTGGTAAATCTTTTAATCTCTTTTGATGTCTCAGGGAATCTGGTCCCAGGCTTCTGGGAAATGCAATTTGTAATCCTGCTTCAACTTCTCAGCCAAATGAGGGAGAATCTTGAGGAAAGTTTCATCCCAGGAACTCATTTTTTCCCTTAATGAAAGCAAACTGGTATCCTGGGCTGGGTTTGCGTCACGAGAACACAGGCTGGGTTATCCATGAGGCTGAAACTAAATGGATTTTTCAGGGTGTGAATGGAACACTCATTTTTTTCAGGCACAGTAAACCCTCATCAGGAGGGGGTAGAAATTGGCACCACCTCACTGCTGCTGCTGGACCTGCTTCACACCTCAGCTGCAGCCTTCAAACCCCCACACTGCTGATACCAACAGAGTGAGGTGGGGAAAATCTAACACCCCCAACCCACCCCAAAATTCAGGGGCAGCCCCACCCCTGACCAAGCTTCAGAGCAGCTCTGGGAGGGGCTGGCAGGTCCCAGCTGTCAATGGTGACATTGCTAAGGGTGGTTTCCTGTTACAGCTGGAAGGACTGCATGGATTAGGGCAGAGCTGCCCTCTCCCAGGGAATCACATGGACCTGGAAACAGAAATAAACTTCTCACGGCATTTCTTGGATTGCCTGCTTGCTGCTCTGAGGTGCACGGCATGTGCAGGGGCCAGCATCAGCAAATGCATCCCTCCTCCCTTGCTGCAGGGCTGTTTCTAGACCCTTGCTTGCTTTACAAAGCATAAAAATCTGATTAAATGCCTGCATGAAGCACAGGACAAACCCAGCTGTTGTACAGATGTGGAAGGACGGAGATCCTTTTGGTTCTGTCTCTTTTTAAACCAAACCAGCTCCTCCACTTCAGCCTCTTAAACTCTGTCACAGCCTGTTCCCTCCAGGGGAAAGAACAAATGTCCTCCCCATCCTCCCCATCCTTCATGCCTGGAAACCCATCTGCCAGAGATGTCTTTGAGGCTTTGCACATGGAATTATTTTTCATGGTCTCAGGGCTTTCTGTGGGTGAAATGATGTGAGTAAAGCAATTATGACGAGATCACAGCTGTCAATAAAAGGAGGGACAATGTTTAAAAAGAACAGTTTAACGGTGAACTTGGCTTGGTTGCTTTTTTCTCAAACTGAATTTCTGTGGAGAGGTTGTCAAAGAAGTTCAGGGATTTCCTACATGCATTTGTCCATTGGATGAACTCAACTTTTCTCTTGGCATTCAGATTTCTTCACTTTTCCTGACGTGCCCAAGTGGAATTGCAGGTAAATAGCACAAGAGGCCTTCTTCAGCTGTTCTGTTGGAAAATTGGTACCTGTCTCATGTTTTCTGTGCATTTAAACCTGAAACACATTGTCCTTTACCCTTTTTTCCTGTTGCAAGGCTTTTTGGAAATACACTCTATTTTCTCCTCTGTTCTGCTCTCCACGTTGCAAGATATTAAACAACAAAACAGCAAAGAGGATGTGTTTTATATTATTTTGTTTATAAGAACACTCTGGACTGGTAAATAGCTACACCCTTCATAAGTGTTTTCAATTTTCCCTTTGAAATAAGAAACAAGTAATGCTTTCAACAAGCAGCTCTTCTTGGTCAAGGATTTTTCTCATTTTAGAGAACACAAATAATTTGAAAATCAAAATGTTTCCAGAAAACATGCTTGGGGCATGTGGGGTTTTTTTGGGGGTTTTTTTTTTTTTGGGGGGTGTTTTTTTTTCTTGTTTTGTTGTTGTTGGGTTTTTTTTTTTTTTTAAATTTTATTTTATTTAGAGCCATGTGAAATCCAAGCTGTGAGGATAAAGACATGACTGTTTATGACGCTGAGTGCTTCATGCTGAGCAGAATATCTTTCAGTGTGGGAACCTACAAGAGATCTGGAAAAAGACACAGCAACCCCATCATGTCACTCGCAGGAGAGACTTCACTTGATTTATTTCTTATTAATTCTGCAGGAAGTGTCTTGGGCAACAAACCAACAGCTTGGGCTGTGTAGGGCAGAGCTGTACCTTCAGACACGAGTCAATGGCCTGGATTATCCCTTGGAAACATCTGACCAGGCCATGGCATTTCAGTTCTGCTTTGTTGCTCCCAACAGTGTGGAATGATCACAAAAATCTCTTTTTTCCCAGGCCATGCTTTTTCCCTGGAGAATTCCTGAGGGTGTGCCGGATACTTGGTCCGTTTTCCCAAGCTGAACACAGACTTGGGATTCTCCTTAACTTCACCATGAGAGAGCTTGAAAAACTAGGATGCAAAGTGAGATGGCCCAGACCCAGCTTATTCAAGGCTGGCATTATGTCCTCACAAGGGAATTTTGGTCTTGCTGAGGCTGGGATGGTTTTCTCTACATGTGCTGTATTGTTCTGGACTTCCCGAGTGTTTTTGCAACCCAGTTTAAGGTCACCTTGAGAGTGGCTGGGCTTGGCAGAGCTGATTTCTGGGCTCAGGCCTTGCTGCTGATCTCGAGCTTTTGACTGATTGCACAAAACATTTTACAGATGAAATCTGAATAAACCCTTCAATGAAGGTCATAGTAAATAAGATTCTAAGGTTAAAGCACTTTATGGCAAGCAGACTTTTAGGAACTGGTTGTATTAAGAGGAATGATTTGATTAAAGAATGAGAAATGGGACTGGGGAGACAGGAACCTGACCTCAGCAATAAAATCCACAGAGCTGCTTTTTTCCTCCTTCTTGGAATCTGGTGTACAAAGGTACAATTAAACAACATGGCCAACATTTCAGCACGCCAACTCAAACCATTTGTGCTTTTCCTGACTCTGGGCATCTGCACAGAGTTTTTCTTTGCTTTGCACTAAAATTCTGAGCCAAATCTGCTTCCTGGCGCTGCAAGGTGGGAGCTGGGCTGGGACCCTGGGGAGGCTGGAGGTGCTCCTGGAGCTGGGCTGACCATGCTGACCTCAGGGCTCCTCCAACCCAGACTCAGCTTCTGGACACCACCAAGCAGCACGAGCTGGGTTGAAGGTCAGATGTTTCCTGCAGGCAGGATGTAATTTGGGAGAGCAACCAGGGCAGATAGTCTGGGTCACATTGTTGGAGTCAGCTCAAGTTGGAATAGCAGGGAGGAGGAGGGTGGAACGCAGGAGCAGCCAAACACCCACACGACCCCAGTGCCAACCTTCATTGCTTTTGCAGTGTTTGATTTGTTGTTTCCTTAGAAAACCAGGCTGAGCTCCCAGCAGCAGCTCACTTTCAACCTCTCTGTCTGAGCTAGAAAGAAAAGGCTTCGTCCCAAAAGGGGATATTTCCTGTATCACTGGAAAGGTTGAGTGATGTTTGCATTTTTCTTATTCTCCTTTATCTTTCTGCAGGAGGAAACCTGGCCAGGAGCAGGCCCTTGGATGCTGAGGTGAGATTGGGATGGCCTCTGGTTTGCCCATGAGCCAAGAGGGCTGGGACAGAAGGGGATGGACACAGGGAGGGTGAATCAGCATCTGTGCCTGGGAGCTTTTAACCAAATTTGGACGTTCTGCCCCACAGGGTGAGTGTGATTGTCCCAATTCACATGGTGGAGCTGCAAGGTGAGACCCACTGAGCCAGAAAATATTTCCATTTACCTCACTCCACTCCTTCAACCGAGTATTGAAGCACCACGCTGGAGGTAACACAAGCTGAAGAGACTTAGACAAAATTTAAACATGTGCTTTTTCTTGGGCAAACACTGAGTAATGATTGCACTGGCTCAGGGGAAATGCCCTGGTGTGAAGGCAGCACTTCTCAGCTCCAAATCAGCTTGTGTTTGTGGAAGTTTGATGCCGTTTTGCAAAGTTTGCTTTCTCAAATGAGAAAGAAACAGCCAAAAATATTACGGTTTCTACAAAAAACAAGTTGGAATAGGCCAAATAAAATGACAATCTCCACTTGGCAGGGAGAAAGGGTGACGTAATTAGCTGATTTTTATTAAGAAATTAGCAGAAAGGTGTGAATTTGATACATAACCCATTTCTGGCCAGAAACATCATGGCATGGAGGGCAGAAAAGATACACAGGTAAATGCTTTAGCAAAAATAACCTGTATCTATAGTCAGATAATGCCCAAATATAAGACTTAAGAAATGAAATCATAGGCTGAAATAAATGTCCCTAATTTATTTTCCTGCTCTTTTCTGCCAGTTTCAAGTTTCCTTCAAATCTCTCCCATTTGCTGAATTCTTCTGTGGCAGAAATCTGGCCTGCTCTTTTGCAAACCAGAGCAAAAGGAATGCTTTCAAACATCCCAGACAGATCATTTTCTCTTTGCTGTTCTCTTGATGATGTTAGAAAACACAAACTGCTTTTGTGAGACCTCTGCTACTGTGGAAAGAGCCATGGTACGCTCCAGCAGATGACACACACAATTCAGAATGAGTAAAAACTAAAAAAACACAATCTGCTGACGCTTTGAGAAAACCCCATGTCTCTATGTAAACCTGTGGATTTGGGTTTTGGGATTTGTTTTTGTTTTCCCCATGGGGATCCATGAGCTCATAGGTTCCTCAGGAGAAGCAAGAGGTCTTTGCTGAGCATCTGGGCTGCCTCTGCATCCCTGGAGAGCAACAAACATCCCTGGGGACCCCACAAATCTTCTGCTGATGGCTGAGAGACCAGAGAAGGAGCTCAGCCCTTAACTGAGGTGAGGAAATTCTGTATTATGGGAGGGACAGGGAGGCTAACCCAGTTTAAACTGGTACTGTGTGGGAATCCAGAGCTTCCCTCTGGCTGCCCTGGCAGGTCTGGGACCCTGGCAGGGGTCAGGAACCCCCTGGACAGAGCCCCCAGAGACACTGGCTGTGATCTCTGGCCATGGAAAAGAGTTTTCAATCTTACAGGATGAATTACCAGCTCTGACTGTTTGATATAAGCAATAATTAAGTGTGGCACAGGTGCAGAAGTAAAATTTTAGGATTCTAGATGAGGGGTCCAAAGGGGACAAGATGGAGGAAATTGGGTGTGCCTTGTCCTTTTTCTCCTTCTTCATGCCCTCCATGTTTCACTGTGGTGTTGGCATTTTTCTGTTGGTTCAGGCTGGGGACACACTGTCCAACGTAGGTGACAGATATTGGCACGTTATTGTAAATCCAGCACAGGGAGTTTGTGGTATTTAATGTTTGTACCATCCCACTGAGGGCAGAGCCCCACACGCTGCCCTGCAGGACAGAGCTGCGGCAGGGCAGCAGAACATGTTAGAGATAAACAGAATAAACAACCTTGAAACCAGCACAGACCAATTATGGCTTCTGCTTTGGCAGCGGGGCTGACAGACAAAGACTTTCTACAGTCTCGGAATCATCAATAACACAGATTCCAACAGTGCTGAGGGCAGCCACCCCTGAGGTTATGGTGTTGGGCTTGGCTGTGTGAGAAGCACCAAGGGACACAGAGGGTTTGAGGGATCCCACAAATCCCTCCATGTCCTGAAAAGTGAGATTTGATATCTCCAGGTGTCAGCATAGCTGCTCCTTCTCACTCTCCAAATCCAATAGCTGTCCTGCCTTGATTAGAGAAGTGTGGTTTAATTACGTGTCTTTATGCCCATTTTTTAGGCCGTGGTGGACAAATCATCGTGTGTGGCTGACCCAGCTGAGCTCCACCTCTCTCCAGAGCTGTTTTCCATGGGAGCACATCTGTTCTGGCCTCTCCACCTGTTTCTGAAGGTATAGCAACAAACTCCCTCTGGCTCTGACCTCCCAGCAGTGCAGCTCTCACCTCTTTCATTAATCAGCTTTGTGCCATTAGCTCCAATGAGTGGCAGTTTTGTCCTTTTTCTCTTTTTTTATTGGTGGAGAAATGTCTGCAAAATATTTGGGTTGCCTGTAGCAAAGCCTGAAATGTCACTCAGGATGGAGGCCAAGCTGGCTCTGCTGCTTCAGAGGACTTTGCAACGCAGTTCCTTGTATAAAAACCAGATTTGTCTGAGGTCACGTCACCAGAGGTGACCCTGAGAGTTGTCTTACATTGAGGCAGCTTCTTGCTTTTGCTGTAGGGTTTTGTGGGGGCTGTTTCTGGTGGCATTGCACTGAGAGCAGGGGTGCTGGGGGCAGAGCTCTCTCTCAATGTGTGCCTGCAGAGCTGTGCTGACTGAGGACCTTGCTTGAAAGCCTTTTTCCCACTTGGCAGCTGAACAGAGCAAACACACACAAAACATCGTTCTCCTGAAGCTTAGAGCTGATCCATCCACCACAGGCTGTGAGAAATGAGAATAAACCCATTGTCCTAGATGTTTCCCTGTCTTGAGCCTGCAGAACTGATATAATTTATTTCCCATATCATTTCTTGACCAAACCATGCTCTGCACTAGATTTTATCATTTCCTCATACAATAAAAACCAAATCTTTTCAATTAGAGGACATTCCTCTACCAGTGCAGATGACATCCTGCTTTGCCTTCTGTGCTGCAGCTGCACATGGAATATAAAATTGGGGAATATTTCCTACAATCTCCTGAATCTCCAGTGTCATTTTCTAGCTGCAGCCCCTGCTGGCTGTTCCAGCACCTCCCATCTGCACTGTGGGACGGATTGCTCCAGGAAACATTGCATGGTTCCACGTCACAGAGTCAAACCTGGATTATTTGCATCCTATTTAGGACAGCGGAGCTTGGAATGTCCCCTGAGGTTTGTCTGGCACTGCAGGAGTGCAGGTGCTGCAGGAATTTTGCTTCCACAAAGCTCAGGCAGAGCAGGAGACAAAAAAAAAAAAAAAAAGTGTGGTTTTGGGTGAGATTTGTGCCTTGCACAAAGGATCCATTGGAGGCTGTTGAGGTCACTGGTGGGGCTTTGGGGGAATTTCAGCTCGTGCCTCAGTGATCTATTTTGCTGCCATTCAGTAATCAAGGGTGAAAATGTCACCCTAATACCACTGTGCTGCTCAGGGGCAGTAGCAGGATGTGCTGCAGGGCAGCAGAAGTGGGCAAATGAAGTAAATGGTGCTGGGCCCTCCCTCTTTTAATCATCTTAAATCCTAAGGCAAACAAAACTCGTATTTTAACAAAAAAATCTAATTGTGAAGTGCTGCTTGGTGCATTTGGACCTGGTGTTCTGCATAGCAGCAGCCTGGCAGGTTGATGGCAGAAAAACCCAACGTGTGACTTGCTGCTCCCAGGGGTTCAGGTGCCACAGTTCTGTGGGCTCAGTGCAAAAACTGCAAACAGACTCCCTGTGGCAGAATCAACCATGTTTGTGTGCCAAACTGAAGTTTTCCCAGGGTTTCTGTGACTAAGAGATGTTGTTAATATATATTTGCTGCATGTGTTTAATTTATTTTTTATATATATATCTATATTTACTGCTGCCTTCAGGATGTTTCATGCCAAGGAGGGAAAAAAAAATCCTAACAAATAACAAGTTAATGGAGTGCTTAAATCTGAGGACATGTTCAAGGTATTTGTTACAAATAAAGCCAAAGGCCTCATGTGCTCCTTGGAGCATTCCTGGAGAGATGCTGGCTGCCTTTGTCTTGATAATGATCTTTATGTGTTTAGCTGTGAACACACATTTCCCATCTCCTGTTGCTGCTTTTCTAGGTTAGACAAAAAAAATTCTTGTTCATGCGCTGTGTTTTCCAAAATTGGTTTGGTGTTTTTTCCCCCCCATCTGTTCCTTTCTGCTTCCCTTTGAATTTATTCCCATCACCTTTCCCATTTTCACATCCCCTCCAGCCCCTCACTCACCACTGGTCCCCCCCGTTCTACATAGAACCCTCTGCTCTTCTTTGTGCAATTTCATGATTGTCATTTCAGCAGCTGTCCAAGAATATCTGGAATTTAATCCTGCCCTGTAAAACCCTTCCTGCTGCCACACAAACTCAGCCTTTTGCAAGTTCTCTCCCTGTTCCTTTATCCCAGGCCTGAGCACAAACACCCCCAGACCAGACTTGTGGGTCTGCCCAAACACCTGGCTCTGATAAAGCAGAGCAAGATTTTTTTAATTAATTCCACGTTCACATTAAAGGGGTTTTGCCCCCTCCACACCCACCCCTGTCACTGCTCTGAACACCATGCAGAGCCACAGTCAGATTCCCAGGATTTAAATCTCCAAAGCTTTGTTTTATCCAGATCCTAGCTAAGGAATGCCAGATTTTTTTTCACACATTTTGATTAAAGCAATATTCTCAGTCCAGTCCTGATTCTGTGCCCGTCCCTTTTCCCAGAAAAACCCCCGTCTTTGTGCTCAACACAGAGTGTTCCCTCTTATCATGGGAAGAAGCTCTCAAAAATACTTGACAAGTATTGTAAATGCAGGCGAACCCAATGAGAAGAAATGACAATGTCTGACTCAATTCAGAAGGCTGAATTATTTCTTTATTATAACTGTGCTAAAATACATTCATATGCTATATAAAAGGAGGATACTAAATCTACATATTACTTTCTCTGACTCTATCTCCAACTCTAACACAACTCGTGACCCTCTCTGAGAGTCCAGCCCCAGGTGGGTTGGGTTGGGTTGGATTGGATTGGGTTGGATTGGGTTGGATTGGGTTGGATTGGATTGGATTGGATTGGATTGGATTGGATTGGATTGGATTGGATTGGATTGGATTGGCCATCAGGCTCAAACAATCCTCACCAGAATCCAACCAAGCACTCACCCCAGGTAAACAATTCTCCAAACACATTCCACATAGGAAAAACATGGAGCAGAAATAGAAATTGTTTTCTCTTTCATTTCTCTCTGTTCACCTCTATGAAAAATTCTGAGAGTGAGACAAATGTGTTTGCCATAGACAAGTATTAATTCTACTCAGTTTGGGCTAGAAATTTCTTGAATAAGTCACAAAAGGAAAGAACTCTCAGTTAATGCTTCCCTTTCTTAATTATGTTTTATTATATAAATGCGATTACACTCCACAGAGCTAGTGAATCCTTTAGTTTTTGTCAGGGACAGGGGGATGAGAAAGCTCAGCAAAACAGGAAGAAATGACAAGATGTGGCTTTATTGGGTGTCAGCCCTGGGGCACCAGGAGTGCATGAGATGGTATTTTTAAAGTAGCAGCATCCAAAGGTCACTGGAAGTGTCAGGCCCGAGAAATCAGGGTGGTGATTTCTTGAAGCTCAGGTGCCTGATCACAGAGTTTATTGAGAGCCAAATGTTGGGTTATCCTCGTGGATTATGGAGGGGTTTGGTGGAGAGCTTGGTCTTGTTATGCTGAGTTTATTGTGCCATTTTCTTTGGTGATTCAGCACCTTGCTGCTGGTCTGTGGCTTTTATGCAGAGAAAATTTATGGGCATGGATTGTAAAGGCTTTGGCTTATTTTTTCTGGGCTGGAAATCTCTACCTGGGCAAGAATTGCTAAAATGGGGTCTGCGCTTGGGGTGCTGCACTATTAAACAGGATCAGAGCTCATGCAAAGAGAAGTTCAGCTGCAGACTTCAGAGTCAAACTCTGGATGAAGGAATTAATTTTCTAGTCCATACATGTAGCAGTTAGAGAAGTTATTCTCTTTATTCTACTTCAGTGAGGCTTGTGTTCCCTCTTACCATGGGAATAAGCTCTCAGAAATACTTGACATATACGAATTCTACTCAATTTGGGCTAGAAATTTCTTGAATAAGTCACAAAATGAAAGAACTCCCAATTTATGCTTCCCTTTCTTAATTATGTTTTATTATATAAATGTGATTACACTTCATAGCAATGGAACACAATGTACCAAACATCCAGGGGAAAAATGAGATTGGAAAGAAAACAGGCTTCATCCTTGAGTTCAGTTTGGACCTTTTACCTTTTAAATAAAACCATCTGTATTTATATTTTAAAAGTTTGTCAGGGCCAGATGTTGACAAACCCTACTATTTCCTAATCAGTAACCTGGAGGGTGACCCTGCTGTGCAGCCAGGCATGTCCTGAGCCTTCTTACACAAAATAGGATGCAAGAAGCCAGAGACGGAAATTATTTGCCAAAAATCTTTAGGAAAAAGAAAGACAAATGAAGGGATGTATACTACTGGGATTGGAGCCTTGGGAAAAAAAAAAACAATCACTCATCCTTGTTGCAATCAGGTAAGCTCAGATAAAACAAAAATGGGATAGAATACTATTCTGTAGTCTAAGAAATTCCTCTTACTAAACTGAAGTATTTTTTTCCTTGATTTCAAGCACAAAATTTAGGTTGGAACTTGGGCTTTCCTTAAACCTTGGATCCTTGGCTTAGTTCATGCCTACATCCTGATTCTGTTTTAATTTAAGGCAGAAAGAGGGAAACATATTTTTAGTGCCAGTTAACCAAATCATATTAATTATCTCCAATGAAAATAAGGATAAAGAGAAAGAAGGAAAACCAACACAGGTTCTCACTAAATTCAGCAATTTTCATTGAACCCCAAGCTAAACCCAAATCACCTCTAGGCTGTTGCTTTGACCTGAAGGAGCTGGGTTGAAGTCAGCTGAGGAGCAGTAATTTGTCCCATTCTCCAACCCAGGAGCTCACTTCTGTGGGATCTTGAGGAGGTTCTGCTGTTGTGTGAGGGGTTGGCCCATGAGAAGCTGACAAACATGTCCAACCTGGCACCTGTGACTCCAAACCTCCCTAAAGCTGTGGGTTTCTGAGGCTGGATACGGTGTGGGAATTAGTCACAGCTTCCTGTGCTCGGGTGTTCCTCCCTGAGCACATCAGCACCTTTGATCTGACCCAGTCCATCCTTCTCCT